CTACTTTTTCCGCTCTTTCAGTGAAAGCATCAAATTGAAAATCGATGTACATAGCGATGAGTGGCCCTATCTACACTATGCCCGCTTCGTAACCACTCAAGCGGCTAAGCGAGACAATGCAAGTACCACCTCCACCAGCACCGGCACCATAACTGGTGGCAATGCGCTGGTGTTGGTCTATAACTATGACATATACTACTGCCAAGGGCCACGCTCCACCAATCATGTGTATCGCATAACGCGTGATGCAGTGCCTGGCATCGTCTACAATGGCATACCCGATTGGCTCTATGAAGGTGAGTATAAGCACTAGCTGTTGGCTGGTGGCCCTGCGCGCCGACTAACTAGCTTTTTATTCATTTTTGTAACTCATTTGAATTCATTCATGCATTCTCATTGATTTCGCATACGATTAGATTGATTTAAATCGAAAATTGAATTTCCGCTTTTTTTTTTTTTGCGTTCTTTCCAAAAATATGCGACGTCCAACACGCTCTTCGATGACCACTTGCTCCATCAACCTCTTCACCGGTATACTCATCTTTGCTGCTGATGCTTACTGCCGCTGCCTGCCTCTTGTGCTTTGTAGAGGAAATCCTGCACTCGAATAATGCAATTTGGCTTTCGGAGAACGGACACTTAATGCTTTACGGTGCGTTCAATGACTCGCTGGTGCAGGAACAACATTTCGCTTGGTATGGCACAACAAGTGGCGGCAATCCGAATGCGTATCTTTATCCAGAAATCAGATCATTAAGGTGAGTACAGTGACATTGTGACTATGTAGAAGACAATCTGAATTTCAAATGAATTGGTAGAGAGACTACACGAGTATGAGAGTATAGAAAAAGTGTTCGGAGAAGAGAATGTAAGAACAAGGTTACACGAAGATTATAGAAACTATACTCAAAAGTAAAATCTGTCCAAAATTGTAGAATGAAATATTAGCTTTATGTAATAAAAAATGTTACTTCCATTTTTCGGGATCCCGGGGGTTCGGGATTCAAAAACAAAGTCTGACGAATTTTGTTGTAGAATGAAATATTAACATTATTCAGTAAAAAGTACAATCCCGTTTTTCGGGACCCGGGAGATTCGGGATACATAAGTAATGTTTGACGACACTTGATGTAAAAGGAAATATAAGCTTTATTTAGTAAAAATGGCAATCCCGATTTTTCGAGTCCCTGGTGATTCGGGATTTAAAAGTAAAGTCCGACCAAAATGTATGTAGAATAAAATATTTACTTTTATTAGTATAAAATCCAAACCCGGTTTTTCGGGATTCCGGCGATTTAGTATTCAAAAGTATACTCCAATGAAATTGATCTGTATCGAAATAGCAACCTTGTGTAATAAGAAACGGTACCCTGATTTTTCGGAATCCCGAAATTTTTTCAAAGCATATCGCTATATACTTAAATTCACATTCGAACTCATTTAAACACTTATAAAACTTTGTTTCAACAAACTGAAAATTGTTGAAGCATTATTATATATCAATACTAGCTGTACCTGGCGTGCCCTGCTACGTCCGATTTTATACTCTCAACGTGTTGTATCCCCTGGTTCTAAGCTACCTCTCACCAATTTTCAGCCAAACCAGTTCAGCCATTCTTGAGTTATAAACAGTGTAACTAGCACTACTTTAATTAACATGTATATGTCAAGACCTTCTGCAGGTATAAACGAATAACTGTACAAATTTTCATATCATTCCGTGCTGTGGTTCGGAAGTTGTGCGGGCATATAACGAAATAGCGTTTCATTTTTATAGACATATAAGATATTCGTATGTATGTATGTACATATGTAAGTAGATCAGGCCTCATATTTAATTTTGTCAAACACTTTTGGTAATATGCGAAACCGTTGAAATATTAAAATTTTTAAATTAAAATTATTAAATAGAAACAATTTACTTTAGGTCTAAATCTGAATAAGAAAAAAGAAATAGGATCACTAATCCCGAAATCCTGAAATATTTTCGGCACAGTCTCAAAAAATTTTATTTTAAACCATCCACAATTATTACTTGTAGCTATCTGTAAGAGCCACATACCTCAGAGACGAATACAATTCAGCTCTTTTTGAAAAACTACCTATGTATATATAAGGTAAAGTAAAAAGTTCGTTCGGTTTTTTATTGCTTTTTCAAAAGATGATAACTTTGTGTACATTTTTTTACCGTTTTGTTCGTAAACTTGTTGCCAACGAGATGCCAACTTCATTATACCCCTCTCGTAGAAGACTGCGTCCCTATTGCCAAAAAACTCGGAGAGCCAATTTTCACAGGCCTCTCTTGAGGCCAACTTCTCACCATTAAGCGCGTTTGCCATGGACAGGAAAAGATGGTAATCCTCTGGTGCCAGGTCCGGACTATAAGGTGGGTGCATTAGAACCTCCCATCCGAGCTCCAGGAGCTTCTGGCGAGCCACCAAAGACGTGTGTGGCCTGGCGTTGTCCTGATGGAACACAATTCGGCCTCTGTTGATCAAAGATGGCCTCTTCTGGATGAGTGCTGCCTTCAAGCGGTCCAGTTGTTGGCCGAATTGAGCGTTTGGCCATAGGGGAGCAGCTCGCAGTAGATGATTCCTTGCCCATCCCACCAAACATACAGCAAAACCTTCCTGGCCGTCAATCGGGTCTTGGCCACCATCTGGACCGCTTCCCCGAGCTTTGACCATGACCGTTTGCGCTCGATGTTGTCATACGTGCCCCATTTTTCATCGCCAGTCACAATCCACTTCAGAAACGGGTCGATTTTGTTGCGATTCGATTTGCAGCGATTTGCAGATGGAAATTCGGTCCATCATGTTTTTTGCGTTAGTTCGTGTGACACCCAAACATCGAGCTCCTTTTTGAATCCAAGGTTATGCGAATGGTTCCAAACGGTTTTATGGCTTATCTTTAGTTCCTCAGCAATTAAATAAGTGCTCACGTGACGCTCTGTTTCCACTATTTCCATGATTTTATCGCAATTTTCGACGACAGGCCTCCCGACGCGTGGTGCATCTTTGACATCGAAATTACCGGAACGGAACCTAGTAAATCACTTTTGTGCTACACGTTCGTTTACAGTATCGGGCCCATAAACTAAATTAATGTTTTCAGCCGCTTTGGCTGCTTTTTCGCTTTGATCGAAGAAAAATTGTAGAATATAGCGAATTTTCTCTTTGTTGGTGTCCATCTTTGACGAGCGCTCACAACGAACTGAGTAAATCATTCGAAAAACTGTCAAAGACAAACTTTTAGCGCGAATAAACACGTTTTCAGCGCCGTATAGTGTGACACGTAACACTAGTACTATGGACAATAATGCCATCTCTTAGATAAAAACCGAACGAACTTTTTACTTGACCTAATATAATAGCAATATAGCATAATTAGAAATCGGTAAGTTAATTCAAGGATTGTGCAAGCTTTCCTCGCTAGGACTCAACTTTGTAAAAAAGCTTGTTTTACATGTTATGAACGATTAAATATAAGTGTAACTAGGTCCAGGAGAAGCTTTTTGAAATTTTCGGGATATATCGTTGGAAAGAGTGTGAGTGTTCTGAGCCTCTTTTGAGATCGAAAAAATCTGCTTTAAAAAGGATATAGTGAAGCTAAAATCTTATACTTCTCGGCCTCATCTCCAATCATTAGAAAAGAACTCTAGGCATCCAAGCAACCATATGTGCCATAGACCGTGAAAAACAAGTTACTGAGGGCAATATTGTGTCATCTGTTGTGGAGAAATATTTTAATATGCTTAGCTTATTGAAATTCGATTAAAGTCACACCCAATTGAAGATAGGTCATGCGCACATTTATAGTTAGCATATAATTACTGGTGAGCTCGACACGAATTATCAAAATCGTATAAGCCATCGGAAATACTTTAAAAGCCTGTGGGTTTACCTATGTATATATGTATATATTGTAAAATTATAGACACCTTTGTGTGATTACAATTTGTGTAAAAGGATTACCAGTGAAATAGCTCTACTAGTTCCACACATATACAAATACAAATAAATATATACAGATATATACAATAAGGTGTGAAAATTATTAAAAGGAAACTCAATTAAGTGAGACATTTTTGCTAAGAGCAAGCAATAACATTTATATAATTAAATCTGTGTACATATATACAAACATACATACATGTGTACTTACATACACATGAACCACATAATGTGTTTATTATATGCAATAATATATTGTGATCCTTAAAAGTTATTACTAATAAACTATAATGCATTCCACGAATTTCATTTAACTTACAGCAGTATGCCATAAAATATAGCAACACATTAAGCCGGCAATTGTATTGCGAATATATACACTAATATAAAGATGTGTAAAAGCCTGTAACCCTCATTCAAACCCCACATCTACTTTTCCCAATTCTTTCCATACAATAATACTGAATACCGCCACAGCGTCATTAAGTACCATTATTGACGAAACCAGCAATTAAAGGCTTTCCGTTACACTTTTACTTGAGGCTGCTTACTTACACCGCATACATTTTCATAAGCACTCAGATTTGTGATATTTAAGATTCAATGTACAATATAAATAAAAATAGTGAATTTAAAGAATTTAATGCGCTTCAATAATCGGTAATTTATTTTGAAAAATTTTGCGTTCCCTCGAAATTTACAAAATATACTTATTCAATCAAAAATCTACGCACACCGTTAGATATTTTTCATTCATATTCAAAATACTATTCACAGAGGAAATATCAAGCGAAGTCAATAAAGATAACTGAAATGTTTAATGTGCAAAAAGTATTACGTAAACGCCACTGGCGAGCATGCAATTATAACGCCAACTAAGTATATGAGTATTTAATTTGCTTTATGAAAGCACTAAACTAAAGCCGGCTGTGCCATGCGGTGCTACAGAGCGTATGAGTGACTTTTAATGTCGACACGTGTAAACGACAAAGCAATGAATGCTGCAAAACAAAGGTAATAAATTTGTTTTCGTAATGAGCATATGAGCGCAGGAGCTACATTACAGCGAAATGCAAATGACAATTAGGTAACAGTTAACTCAGCATTTCAATAAGTGAGTGCTAAATTGTAGCTGCAGATAAATGTTTGGATGTCATATACATGCATAGGAAAATATATATGTATATCTAAGTTATGTATATGCCTGAATGTGCTTGGCAGGTGCACATTGACTCAAATTGTATTTAACTTGCAGAAATAGCATTTCTATAAACACACTAGTTATACAATATTTATATGTATGCGTATTTGTATACACATGAATAAATTTGCTTGTGTATTTTTGTTGTATTTAAGGTTTTTGACAGCAAAATGCTTATAATGTAAATAATTTGCAAGCACAATGGCACATTAACAGTTATATTTTAACACATTTGAACTTTGAGTAAATCCATTTTTTGTATAGTGTAGCTCGGTAAATACCACCGAATATGTGTTCAAATATGCAATGAGCACGTGCCTCTTGCTTTTTATAATCATTTAAATGCATACAAACATGCATGGAATGGTATTGAGATATTCATCTATTTATGTATGTTTGTATTTATGTGATTTTGTATTATACAACGCTTTTTCCTACAACGCTTTTTATTGCGCAGTATAGACTTCCAAACTGAAGTAATTATCGCTCCGCTATTTTTGATATTTCACCTAAATGTATTAAGGTATGTGATCCTAGGTGTTGTACCAGCTTATGCGCCTGGTCTGTCCAGTTTGAACTCCGACAATCATTGAAAGGTGGAGTTTGCTGTAGGGAACTGACAATTTCTACGTGTTACCCTTGGCGCGAAGGACCTTGCGACAGCACAGCTGCTAATAGTTGACCGCCGCTTGCTGAGCTGGGCCGAATCCCAACAGTCCAGCCTGAACCCCATGGAGGCAATTTTGAGTCTGAGGTATTTGTCTTCATCATCTTCATCATTTACAACCATAATCTAGAGAAGTGGCGAGATAACTTCTTCTATTCACATGCCGCTGTGGCCGACTATCGCATTCCTTCACGATCGTTCTATCGCATAGAAGTTTAAAGATAAGATGCATAAGGTTCAATTCAACCCCAAACCAAAACTCTAATGACCGCTTGCGGCAGTACGTTGTTGAATGTCCACTCGATATCGAGGAAAGTCATTACTGCAAACTCCTTATTACTTTTGGTCCGCTTGAGTCAGGAGGCATTAGCGTGCAAGGTAGTCACGCTGTGGCCTTGAAAATCAATTTCTTTGAATAAAATTAAATTCTTCGTCGACACATGCGATCTCTTACCGGCCTTCGGGATAAATGCAATCCTAACCTGTTTCGAAGCTCCAGGAATATGTATAACCCAATTGAAAATTGCACGAAAGCATGACATCTCTTTGTAATTGCGCTGGTAGGGGAATGATTGCTCGGAAGGTGATTGGCTAGGAGCAGCTTAAGAGTGTCCTGACTTATAATAAAAATATAACGAGTATGGCTAATATAATCGCAAACAGAAAACTAAAACAACAACTAGAATTGCAGAAATAATTATCATTAAAATTAACATTACTTTTATTGAGTAATTGTTAATTTAGAATATTACTGTTGTGGCAAAAGCATTAACCTTCTTGAAGAGATAACTATGATTAGAGTAATCTACATTACTAACACAGTCAGTGTCAATTATGCGAATTTCAGTACTAACAATTACAATTGATGTACGTACTCGATCTCAATTCCTACAAAACTAGCTTAGAGAGGCTTGAGAAATATATATATTTTTGGCAAAGACTAGAAGCTAAGCTCAATCTTGAGCACCTTACCACGCTTACTACTTAATATCAATATTGGAAACAATTTTGTAGCTTAAAAGTGTAAATTGTATTTAAATTTTCACTTGCAGATATCCAAAACCAGGCACGCAAAATCCTATAGCAAAGCTACGCGTGGCCGATATACATAATCCGGAAGACATTAAAATAAGAGATCTACAACCGCCACAAGTACTACAAAATGAGTAAGTGCACAAACATCTACCTATATAGTATGTCAAGTAAATATGTAAAACTAAATAAATAGACGTTTTTGTAAAGCTATAAATCACAGCATCTAGCTAGCCTGTTGAGTGTCAGCATTTCGAGAGTTTAACATTTTACATTGAGGTTATGTTAACCAACATTACTTTTCTATGCTCCTTCTAATAACTTTAATGAATACAGCTTTGTAATTTTATCTGGCAACAACGACCGTTAAAATGGGTCCATAAACTTATAAAATTCAAGAGCACTTCATAGCCTTGACTTGAATAATATATAATCAACTTATCACTCAAGATTTAAGCACCCCTCTGTATAACTATTGGCTCATCAAAAAAAACTGTATAGTTATTTATTCACTTAATGCATCAGCAAAACTCACACAATTACTCATACGAACATAAACTTTCATTTATTTCGTTCTATGCTTTCAATTTGTGACTGATTCTACTGCATAGAGATCACTACTTTAGCAGTGCCAGTTGGGTGAGTGAAACGGAAATCTGTGTAGTTTGGTTGAATCGTCCACAGAACATTTCGGTGGTCAGCATCTGTAAGAGTCCACTGTTTATATGCGTTGAGGTGAGTATAAATGTTATACATTAGAGTATGACAGAAATGAAGAGAGCGAATGCTAAATGATACGGTGCGGGAGAGTAATAATATGAGAGAAAGAAAGAAAGTGAGTGCTAAATAATACGGTACGGGAGAGTAATCTTATGATAGAAGGAAAGAGAGTGAGTGCTAAATGATACGGTCATAAGCAGATATTACCTTCTAGGAAAATTTCGGTGAACTGTAATGTAAGATAAATGTGTTATTATGGTTTTGGGCAGTTCACTCGAAAAATTTTTCTTACAAATAATAATGCAAAAGAAATTCGCTCACAACCTGAAGCAATCAAACTTAAATGACCTCATATGGATGACGTATTGGGTTTCGCTATAATCACATAGGGAAAATATTTTTGTCCGACGATCTAAGCTCGTTCCGAAAAAGAGAATAAGCTGTCAACTCGAACAGAGACTCTAGAATGAATTTATCCTAGGAACTTCCTGATCCAACAACAAAATTCTACTAAGTGTGTCAGACCTTTGATAGCTTTAGGACCTTATAATTATATTCGGTGTGTTTCTTAGCTAACAGCATGCTCTCAACTGAATTGCAAATTATTAAGTATTGCAAAAGACCTCTAACCTATCAAGAAAGTAGTATACATCTTTTTAGAAGTCTTCGTTGTTCTTTAAAAAATTGTAAAATAAGACTTATTTCTTCTGGTCCCTAGTATGAGAACTTGATTGTCATTTTAATTTATTTCAAAGGTAATCGAAAACTAAAATTAAAACTGAAAGCGACTTTATTCTTAACTTCATCAATCTTTAATTTATGACCCTGTAAGTTAGGTCATAAATTCATCATAGAACGAATAGCTAAAATAAAAGAATAGCTAAGTCCAATGGTGAACATTATTAACACTCTTGAGGCAGATGTAACAGCGGTCTGGTACTTGGTCAGGAAACTACCAAAGACATCCCAAAAGGAACAAGGGTGGCTTCAATTTTATTTAATCCTTTTGTTTAACCAAAGTTAACCTGCAAATGTACTCGACTTCCAACATCAATTCCGGATAACCGTAATAAATTCGATCAACCATCAAACTCTTCGCATTTCCTAGGGGGTAATCGTGCGACAGTACTTATGTAGCAGAATGTGTGCCCGTGTTAGTTTTAGTGTCACTGCTTGTTAAGTGTAATTTATCAAAATATAATGCTACTGAAGTTTATCCTGGCGATTTATTTTATTTATTATTTGGAACTCGGCTGCACTTCACTCGATTATGTTTGGAAAAATAATGTTCGTGACCAACGCAGACGCATCGTGTGAGCGGCGATGGACGCGGTTGGGTGGACACAGTATCAGTGCCATTGTTTGCAGCGAATGCAACTTCCTATGTTGCCATATCGCCATTGCGTGACGGTGCTTCCGGTGAGTTTGAAAACACTGACTCCAACCCACCCACCGCACACAACCCACATCCGCTTTGCTTTCATAATTTTTATCATTTTTCCACGAAGTGAAAAGCAAACACAAATTTTTGATTTATTTTCCATTCTTTAGGTTACTTCCGACATATTGTGCACGTGCATGTGGCCAAAAAACGCGTGCTACCACTAACGCACGGGCAATACGAGGTGAATGAGTTGCTACATTGGGACCAGCTGAATAATTGGATGTAAGTACACGATTACTCAATAGAATTTGTGAAATTTTACACCTACACCTTCCATTTTCTGCGCTCATACACGGCCTTTATTTTTCCCTCTCTCTCTCTCTCCCTCCAGCTACTTCCTGGGCACACCGGAACGCATGCCGGGGCAACAGCACCTGTATCGCGTATCCGCTTTGCCACCGCGACATGGCTCCGCACATCAGCTGCCCGACTGTTTGACATGCCCGACGCAATTGCGCAGCAGCTACCAAAATGCCGAGGGTCATACCAAACCGCCGCCGAAACTGGTGACCGCTTGGGATGACGACTGGGAGGACTCGGAGGAGCGTCAAACTTTACCACCACCCACGTTGACGCCGGAACACAAACATCAATCGAAATCATCATACGCGCATGCGGAGCCCAATGAATGTCTCTATCACACAGCCAAATTTCCGTTGGGATTGCAAGCGCGTTATGTGCTCATCGAATGCTTGGGTCCAGTGGTGCCGACGACTAGTGTTTATGCGCTCACAGGCTTCTATGCTGGCGAGCATGGTAAGAAGTTATTACCTAAGAAAAGCGAGGCTTTGGAACTGCTAGTGACTGTGCAGAATAATACGCGTTTGAAGGAGAAGATGTTGCGTACCGCGCTGCCACAGATAAAAACTTTCCCGGTTATGATATCGGGTGGCTATCATGCGCAGGTACGTTTATATTTACCGCCGGTGCTGCGCGAAGATGAGATCACACGCTATCCGACGATACTGCACGTGTACTCGGGTCCGGGTACACAACTAGTGACGGAGAAGTGGCACATCGACTGGAATACTTATTTGTCGGGAACGAAAGATTATATAGTCATTGAGATCGATGGGCGTGGTTCATCCGGACAGGGTTATCAGCTGTTGCATGAGATCTACAAACGTCTTGGTTCGGTTGAAGTGTCCGACCAGCTGGAAGTGAGTGAATATTTGCGTGATAATTTGCATTTTATCGACGGCCGTCGCATGGGTGTGTGGGGTTGGAGTTATGGCGGTTATACGGCCGCTCTGGCGTTGGCGGGCACACAGTCGATCTTTCAGTGCGGCATCAGTGTGTCGCCGGTGACGAATTGGAAGCTTTACGGTAAGTAGTAACGCAGATGTGAGTAATGAGGTTATAATAGTAGGTGACAAATCAAAATTATTTGGCGGAGTTTAGTAATATTTATATACTGACTTCCAAAGCATTTTAAGTAATACCTATAACCCACTTTCAAAAATATAAGCTATTTTTTCAAAAATTTGGGACGGACACTATTAAAGTTTAATGCTTTCTAAACTTTTCCAATAAACATTTTCTATTTTTCTCTCACCAAAAGATTCCACATACGCTGAGCGATATCTTAGCTTTCCGAATGTGACTGACAACTATAAAGGCTACGAGGAGGGTGATCTCTCCAAGTATGTGGATAATTTGCGCGATCGTCAATTCCTTTTGGTGCATGGCACCGCCGATGACAATGTGCATGTGCAACAGTCAATGGTATTAGCGCGTGCGCTCACCAATAAAGGTGTACTCTATAAACAGCAAATCTATCCCGATGAGGGACATACTTTGGCGGGCGTGAAACGACATCTCTATCGCTCAATGACGAGTTTCTTCGAGGATTGTTTTAAGAAGCTGGTGAGTTTTGTAGTTTCCATACGATTTTAATAATTTTTTTATTTTTTAGTTGTAAAATATTTTCTCACTCAACTTTTGCTTTAACAATGATGCGCTTATTTATTTGTATATATATATTATATACCCCTTGCTAACTTTCAAAAAAATCTCCTCAAAAACAAACACACTTTTTGTCTAATACTTTTAAATAAAGACTTTTTTCTCCCCTTTTCTTGGCACACTCATACTACTACAATAACTATATATTGCTATGACTATCACTATCTTTGTTTATCTATCTATCTTTGTTTTTATATTTGTCTCTGTCTTTCACACTTTTGCACTCAAAACCCTTATTCTTTTTTAATTAATTTAATTTTCAACTATTTTTATTTTAAATTTTCTGTTTATTTCTAAATTTTGATATTAAAAATTGTAAAATTTTGTTTAATTTATTTCCAATATAACTCTAAATTAATATTTTGTTTTTTGTTTAAAATAAACCTCTACTCACTTTTATTTTTCCTCTCACAATCGTTTCATAACCTCCAAATCGAATATCCAGCTTGAGCAACAACTGAGTAATCAAACAGATTCCGCGGATTTCTTAGACTTTCATAGTCTCTATGTAAACATTTAAACGTGCAGTTATGCGAGTGTCTTCATCGCACACACAAACCCATACCGAAAGACACGATTGGTATCGTGTATGTGAGATTCATTATTTAAGGTATCCGAAATTATTTTAATCAGTGCTGATTGTTTTATATGTAAATGTCTCATACTCGTTGTGTTTTGATGTCAGTCGATGTTTTTGTTGTTGTATTTCGAAGTACATATAAATGTTTCAATCTGTCTGGCGCAGCTTAAACTTAAGTGCATAGAAATATTATATATGTGGTGTCTATGTTTTTTATATTTTTTCAAGCAAGTAAATCATTTAATATAGTGAATAAGAGTAGAGAGAAGTATAGAGAATTTGTTAGGTAAAAATATCAAGCTTTATTCGTTTGTCCAAACATATTTCGTCTTCGGTCTTGAATTGTGAAATTACTTCGTTCGCTAAATATTTGGATGCTGTCAGCTTTCTGGGAAAGAGTTTTATTACCCGAGGTTATAGTTTCAGAACTCTACTATTCGATTTTAGTCGGTAGATGGCAGTCATATAGTTCTTTTGGTTTCAATTTACAAGTATTATCAGAAGAAATTCGCTAGGTCTTCCAAACAGCTAACCAACAAGCTAAAAAGCGTATACATTACTTTTTAGTTGGGAACATATTTTCCTAAGTTTCAAATTTACTCTGGATTTAAAGGTAATACATTCATTGATAACAACAGGTATTGCTGTAGTATAATGATATCTTGAGTTAGGAGGAACTTTTACAGGCCTATATGTAGCCTAGATTAAGGAGATTTAAACATTATCGAACTTTTTATCAGATTACAAACTTTTTATTAATTATGATAGGCCTTGGCTTGAGATAATATATTGAAACATTAGTCGATGGTTTACTCTTTCTCTTAAGTTAACTTCCGAATATAGAAGCTGTTAGATGTATGTATCTCTATACTCTCTACTGCTACTCAATCGGTCTAGATATATGCCGTATATCTGAAGACAGCCAGTCATGGACAAGACCACTTTCAGGAGAAACAAAGTATATTTTATAGTTCTGTTCGGTTACTATATTCTGAAATGCGGACTCACATTAATATTTAGATCGACGCTTGTTGTGGATAATATTGGGATCAAAATAAATTAAAGTTATTTACAAACAATTGTGTAGAAACTATTTTAAAATCTACACGAACGCCTTTGGATAGGCGGTGGAGTGTGAGTTTAAAACCAATTTACTTCCGACAGCATTGAGGTCTTATTGGTAAAAGGTCTCTTAAAAACACTGAAAGGTTAAATAATGCATCTTTGAGGATACAATACACTATGAAATATAGATCTGCTTATGAGACAGACTCTGAAGATTTGTAAACAAGACTAGCTATTTGCTGGCGAATGAATGCCTAAAAGCTTACGCTTTGTCTTGAAGATGATGAATCATTAGAGAACATATTGCGCACCTCTCCGCCATTAATTAAGTCAATTCCCAATTTTTTGACGTGTTTACAGTTGCTTTGTCCACATAAGTTTTTTTAAAGTAAGTTAAAAGCTTAGACTTTTTACCCACAGAGCTAGACATTGTTTATTGTATGTAACAACCACCTAAGAGCCATATTAATACAGTTTAGGGTAATACTTTTGGACCTCCTAAAGTATGCGGAAAACTTTGTAAGCTTTTCTGGCAATGCATTTTTTTTTTAGTCCAGCGTGCTTTCTCCCCGGTACCGCTCAATTTGATAATATAAACTCAACATATTGGCATGTGATTATATTTGACATAAATGTAACGTAATTATTATGACACATTTTTTACTTTTTTAAAAAGTTTTAATCTTTAATTTTTAGCAAACTAAGCTTTTATGTGATTTTCCGTACTGTGATTTATAAAAAGCTCTACGTGCTTTAAATAAGCTTTCTTCTTTAGCAAAAAATACAAACGCACTTTAATTGAAGTATAAAAATTACATAAAGACGTAACTACATTTCAGAACGCACATATGCATAACAGAGAATACAAATAACCTCCAAAATTATTGTGAAAAATATGAACTCAGCTTATATAATTTTTAGCTGATTTTGATTACTAAGCAAACATTTTAATTATTAAATATAAATTATTGTTATTAAGTTTCGCTATTTTGTAAAACCGTCAGTGTTTTTGAACTGTTTATGCGCCTAAAATTATGCTCGCCTTTTTAGTTTTATTTCTGTGCCCCGCAGTTTACAAGCTTTGTCCAGTTATTTTTTATAGATTTATGAAGCTTAATAATGCATACACGTTGTTTTTATATTAATATGTATATTTTTTGTAATGAAAATTTACTTAGCATTACTCTTGCCGCTCTATTTTCCGCCTAGGTGCCGCCCGAATCGAAAGCTGGACTTGGAAATGGCGGCGGTAGTGATATACAACAGCAATAAAGTTACGAAAATGCTTTAATATTGATTAATTTGAATACTAGTAGTGTGGAGAATACTAAAGCGCCTGAAAGTATGCTCAAACACTTTTCAATACTTTTTATGATTTCGTTTAAATTATTTTGAGTTTACGCAACAGTATTTGCGCATCGCAAAATCAAAATTAATTACAATAACAAAGATGTCGAAAATTACAAATTTTTATGGTTGTGAAATAAATACAAAAGCAACTAAATGCAAGAGCGCCAAAAAGTAAACAAAGCGAAACAAAACCAAAAATTAACTAAGATATTTAATTTTCGAAAATATTGTTAAATGATTTTGAAATTAGGCTTAGATTAAAGATTGGAGGTATTAAAAAAACACTTCTTAAAATAGCAAACAAAGTGTGAGCGCCTAGAAGCACACTAAATTCCTTAAAAACTTTTTTTGGTTTAAGTTTTCTAAAAAGTTTTTAAAATATCCATAGATACGTTTTTAGTTCATTTTAACATTTTTCCGTTATATATAACATATGTACTTCTATAATAATTAGAAAATTTACTTTTATTTATATTAATGTTTAATAAAAACAACACCTACACGAAAATAATTAGTATTTTAAGCGTTGACTTAAGAATTGTGTAAATTTTAAAAATTTGAACAAATAGCATAAAAAGTACATTTCTAAAGTAGTAGTGAAAATATCTAAGAAATATTAAATAGTTTTTGGATAAAAAACTCTAATTGAATGATAGAAGTATTAATAAAAAAATTATTAAAAAAATTTAATCAAAATAAAAAAGCGAAAGGAAATAAACAATATTTAAGATAGCCTAAACTAAAGTTATCAAAAATAAAATAAGTACTACAATATGATAATACTCCGAAAAAAATAAAATTACAGTATTGAAAAAAAAATTTATATAACGGAAAAGCTCAAAATTAGCTGCGATATTAAGATTGAAGATATACCTAACTGTAGCTACAGTTATAAATAAAAAAACACAATGCTATGCATACAAACCAGAAATTAGTCCCTTAGAGTGCAGAAAATTTAATTAAATGAAATTTATTTAAAAGCTTGAAAAATGTAAAATATAAAGTATTTTAAATTTGATAATGAGTAGCATGTTTTTTAGTAACGCATTTATCGCTTGCTGGCAAGAAAAGTTATTATAAGTGAAGCTTTTGGGGTTTTAGAGCTGTTCAAATGAAAAATGAAGCTTTTGAACTTTGATATTTTCAAGATTAAAATAGCTATACTACTGTAATTTAAAATTCTATTTATTATTATGTTGATTTTTATTTTTTGTGCTTTTGAAGCCTAAAATTAGGCAACAGAAAATATATACGCTTCAGAATTTCGACGTTTTCAAGATAAAACCACCTACTTTTATTTAAAGTTATACATATTATTATGTTGTTATATGCATTAATCGCCTAAAAGTGTACAACATTTTTTTGATTACCTTTATTTCCAGAATGATATTACAAATTTTTATATATATGTTTATTTTCTCCTTTAGAAGACTTCAGAATTTACTAAGCTCAACCTAAATTATGCTTTTGCAATTTCAAAATATTTTTAACTGTGTTATTTTTTATAACAGATTGGTCAGTCTCGAAAAAAGACACTGCAAAGTAATTACATCATAAAAATTCAGAAGTTAGGCGCTTAAAAGTATGCAAACGTTTCGAATTGCATATATTATATTTGACCAAAAAATCGACTCGATATCCCATACAATTCATACATCAACGTACTAGATTACTATTTAGGAAGAAAAACGAAAAACGCCTAAAAGTATGCTCATTGGACAATTCTTTGAGATTTATTGATTTAAAACAATGTATTGCAGATTATAATTACTATGGTACGCAAATAAATATATAGAATAAAAATGCATTCTTATATAAAAACACGCTTAAAATTATGCAAAAGTACAGCTTCCAACATATTATTAATAGCGATAATGTCAACTTTTGACATTGAAATCGATTCTCAACATAAAGCCAGCGATTAAAAGCATTGATATAAGAAAAAATTATATATACATATTTGGGTGAGCCAGGATATTTGTTCCTGGGGATTAATGAGTAAAAGCGAAATTATATAGGCACACAGACAAAAAATATCCCTGCAAGGAAAAACTTTTTTCACTTTTGAAAGCTTTTAAATATATTAATATATATATAGTTTGTTTGAGTTCATCGATGTAAATGAACCTACATATATACAGGGAAAAAAATCCCTGCAAAAAAAAGTTTTCCACTTTCAAAAGCATTCAAATAAATAAATTTATTAATTCCTCGGTTAAAAAGGTATATACAAAGAAAAAATATCCTTGTAAGCAATTTTTTTTGCCCTTTTAAAAGCTTTGAAAAAAAAAAAGCTGTCGAAATCATGGGTTGAAATGAACATTCTCTCGTATACAAAGACAAAATATATCCCTGTAAGGAGAAATTTTTTCTCTTTTCGAACCTTTTAATATATAGTATATAAACCTGTCGAACACAGGGGTGAATTATTTGAAGTTCGATATTAGTTTTTTTTTGGCTTACCCTAATGTACATACATATACGTATGTCTATTAGCCTTTCCGCTGGATTAAAAACAGTTACAATAACCCTCTAATGAGACGGTTTTGCATTGTGCGCGCATTTAAATGAAAGTGACGTTGACGAGTAAATCCTTTGATGCCACAATAAACGTAATAATAATTCAAAATAATTAATGAAAGGCGTGAGCACACATACACGCCTACCACTTTCGCTGACAATCCCATGCGACATAATTAGGTGCAATACTTAGTGCCACGCAACAGCCATTAGCGACGCAGCTTTGTTTTCCCGTGAAGGAAATATGCAAAGGAAGGCGTAAAAGATTGCAGGATTGAATTATGTAAGTGTGTGAGCTATGTGATATTTGTGATTGGATAAGGGGCACAAAAGAAAAGTATGTGAATGACGGCAGCGAAAAAAATAATGACAGTTAATTAAAAATGCGTTTACTTTTTGCTTGACAAAACTAAGAGAAGAAAAAGAGAATATTAAACAAAAGGTGAAGTTGCAAAATTTCGGTAACATGCTTTTAGGCGTATTAATAGATTTTTCTCACATGTACAATACATCAATTTACGTAAATAATTTTGAGTGCGCCTAAAGATATGTGATGATTTCTGATTTAAATTATGAGGACTATGATGACTTTGATACGTGTTGAGCTTTTTATAGAGGCTTGATTAAAGAGTCGAATTCAGGCAGAATTAGACTAAAGAAATATTAAGCTGAAGACTCTTTAGCTACATTCAAACACATGCTGAATTTTTTTTTTTAATATACTTTCATATAGTTTCCATTATCTTTCTAAAGTTACATGAAAGCTTCTAAGATTAAATAAAAAACTTTCTAGGTTTGCATGAAAACTTCTACTAGCTTTTTAACTTTGCATAAAAGCTTTAGGTATCTTTTCATAACTTGCAAATGAGGCATCGCAACAATTGAAAAAAATTTAGAACTTTTCGCTATATACAATACTATAGTAAGGGGATTATTGTGAATAAGAAAAGTTTAATATATGAAAGCTCGAGTTAGTTAGGTTTTGAAAAAATAAATAATGAGGTTTGAAAGCTTTAGGTGACGCGAAAACAAAAATACTTTTTAATCAAATTTAGCTTTTTATGGCTTGGATGGATTTGAAAATTTGAATCGTGTGAAAGCTTTAAACTGAGCTGTTAACGAAATCACAAAAATATTGATATTTAGAAGATTAAATTGTTTATATAACTGAAAGCTTTTTTGGAAAATAATTTTATCTAATGCAAATGAGTACATGTCAAAGCTCAAGTTTTCGTAATAGTAAAGGTTTCTAAAAGTAATGCTAACTTTTATTCTATTTAAGTGTACTAGAGAGTTGACTAAAGAGTCAATTTCAGGCAGGGTGAACGAAAAAGTATGTAGCACAAAGTCAAAGTACTACGATTTCATGAAAATAATAGATTTGTTAGCAAAAACTCATAAGCTTAGTGCATAAAAAGCCTTAAGCTTAATTTTATATATTGCTAAAAAAAAACATATTACTTTTATTTTACGGCGCTATTATACGAATTCATGGATTTTTCTGAAATTTTAAAAGAAATAATTTTTGTGAAAGCTCTACCTAACGCAAATGTTAAACGTTTTTTATTCACACTTTTTTTCAGCTTTAAATTCAACTGTTACTCGAAAGCACGGAAATATTGATATTTTAAAGGTTAAGGCTTGATGAAATTAGAAAATTATATAAGGTACTGGAAAAACTTAAAGCTAGAATTTCCCTAAAATTTTCACATAAAGCTACAGTTTTTGTGGTATTAAATAATTGTATTGCAATAGTTTGAAATATATTAATATTTAGATCAATTAGATGCATCAAAAGGTGAGCTTTTATTTCTATTAAATGATTACAAAATATTTAGAAAGCACAAAATGCATTAAAGCATGCTATGCAATGTAAAAGCTGAAAGGACTTCGATGCATTTTAAGTGTTTCATTAAAAGCTGAAAATATTATTATTAGCATAGAGAGTGTCATATTTCAAAGCTCGGGCTTTCATAGGATTCTGTGACAAGTAAATGTGGTTTATAAAATACGGATAATAACGAACTATTAAAACTTTAAGTAGAATACAGAATAGTTATAAATAAAACACTTGTTCAAAACAGTTACTGTATTATACACCACATACTTTTATACGAGTATTAATGAGATTATTTAGAATTTTTTTAGAGATGTTAAGTGAGAAAAGTAAAAAAGAATAGTTGATAAAATTAAATTCAACCTATGAAACTATAAAGAAAGTTAATGTTTCAAAAGATTTTCCTACAACTTATTAGTAATTTTAGAAGAATAATGTAAAATATATAAAAAATTGCGAACTAAGTTTAATTTAAATAAATATCGAATATACCTATTAATTTTAAACTACAATGTTTAAAGGAGAAATTTGTTACACTTTAATGGAAATATATTCAATTAAAAACAAAATATTAATCAGTAGAAAATGAATGGAAATAGCTGAGCTTTCACTCACCGAGCTTTTATACTACAGTAAAGTTTACAGCGTTCGCTAATCCAATGCATTATGTTAATATATGGTTTGAAAATCTATGCTAGTAATTTCAAGTTCGAAAAGTTTCTTAACGTAGACGTGTAAAGCTTTCCCTCGAACTAAGTTTATTGCAATTTTTTAGTTAATTTAAATGAAGTAAACGCTTCAAAAATTATACCGAATTGGTATACAAAAAATTTACAAGTTGTAAAAAGCTTTACTAAAAGCCTTAGACTTTAATAAACAAAAATGCATAGTGAACTTAAGCTTTTACTCGAAAAAATTGTATTGTAAAGAAGTAATTGCTTAAAATATTTGCTCCTAATTTGCATAAACAAAATTAAAAAGTTTTAAAAGTTGTAAAAAGCTTTACTAAAAGCCTTAGACTTTAATAAAAAAAATGCCTCGTGAAATTAAGCTTTCACTCGAATAAATTGTATTGTAAAGAAGTAATTGCTTAAAATATTTGCTCCTAATTTGCATTAAAAAAATTAAAAGGTTTTAAAAGTTGTAAAAAGCTTTACGACTTTACTTAAATAAAAAATAATTTCTGACAGTTGTCTAGTGAAAGATTGCGAAAATTGTATGCTCATTGCTAACCGAAAGTAGGAAAATGCAGGTTTTAATCTAACTAAAAATTCAGTAAAAACTTTATACACAATAAGTTTTTTCAGATAAAAAATAGTTAACCAGAAAAACTCGACAGCTTTAAGAAGAGTAGACTACCATAGGACTATAGAGGTATGTAAAAGATTAAAAGATTGCCGCCGCAAAGAAGTAAACCGCAAATAAGTAAACAAATTGAAAGTTTTCACATCTGTTCAGGTGAAAGCTAAAGCATGGGCAGATATTTTTTTTTGGGTATTTTTTCTAATACAACTCAAAGCTTACTTCTAATCAAAAGTATAAAACTGCAGATTTTAATCGGCAGCTTTAAGAAAGCTAGATTACCTTAGGAGTATAGAGGTATGCCAAAAGATTAAAACATTGTCGGAGCAAACACAATAATAAATTGAAGCTTTCACAACAGTTGAGGTGAAAGTTTAACGCATGCGGTTTATTGCTTATTTTTTCCTTTTTTAATGGGGGGCGATTTCCTTTTTTAAATGTAAACGCCTGAATTTAAGCCAATTTTTGGAGGCTTATTTGAAATGGAAAAAATAAATTAATGATAATGAAACCCAGCATGTTCATTAACTACATATTACAATATGAAAATCCGATTTAAAAATATTTTTTTTTGTTTAAATGGCTGGCGTGACAATCAATCTCTTGAGGCTCTTACAGCAAAAGGCACCAATTGGCGTGATTTTTAGCTTCAGTTTCAGCTATCTGGTATACAAAAAAAGGTTGGCGCTTGTTTATGAAATATGTATCTTCTAGTTATACCAAAAAACAAAAAAGTCAAAATTATTTCCGAAATTTTTTGTGGCATTTTGGTGTTATAACTAGAAGCTGTGGGCCAATTTTCATAAGAATCGGTTGAGAACGTTCCGAGTTATCTTGCACGCCAGTTTTAAAAAAGTGCGTTTTGAAAAAAACACGATTAAAGTTTCGACCATGGAAACTCAACATTACAAAGATTTACCGTCTAATCAGCGATTCCAACAACATACAGTAGTCCTTCGGTGCATTCGTAGTACTCGTTTCTTCCTAAGCTCTTCCTGACATGCTTGACGAGCTTTTTTAGTTTAGCTGCGGCGATTTTCTCGGTTCACTCTTTGTTCGTCGATTTTATCCATGTAGGACATGCATTGGCGACCAATCACCATTTGTAATGAGTTCATAACTAACAAAATATATGTGTAACCATCATTAAATAATCCAGCAGATATAAAAGCACTAATTTCAACAATTTTGAATCTAGAATTAAGATGTTTCGGACAAAGTCGAAAAATGGTAGAGTTGAAACATTCGTTTGCATTTAGCGTGTGACCGCTCAAACATCTTTCAAGTAGATCATCCCTGGATAAATCTTCAAAAATAGGCTTTACATGGGTTTGAACATCAGTATGTAATGGTGTAGGGTGTTTAATTTTTTTTAAATCTTCACACAAATCTTCAGCTTTACGCTACTTGCACCAGCTTCCGGAACCGGACGGGCAATACATGTGTCTTGATTTGTCGTCTGTATAGCACATATGATAGTATGTGGCTATAATTACATTCTTCATATCTTTCACGCAGTTTACGTTTCTTTGGATAGCTAAGCCAAAATACAAAGACATTTTTTTAATCAAAGCTTCAGTAAGTTTACCTCTTCCACCCAGGTAATTATCAGTTCTAGTTTTTCTGAGTCGAGTGCTCATTCTTTTCGAACGTGACCAATGCACTCGCTTTTTACAACTTGGCAATCTTCACCGTACGGATTCAAATGAAAATACCTTTAAAGTTTTTCGGAACTCTACTCCTCATGTAATTCCTGTACTTGACGTCAAATAATACTTCAGAAGAACTTGTATGGTTTTCTTGACAGCTTGGTTCGTGTTCTTCAAACCATTCCTGGTATTCTTTAGTATCAGTTTTATTTTTGCAAAGAACACAACCTGCGCAGAAACTACTCAATCAATAACTTTACCACAATAATATCCAATTAATGTTGTGACTCCTTATAATGACTTGAAACCCCTCTTCTTCCAGGTGTCATCTCCAGAAATTTTTAAATTTAGAATTGCCCGATCATGCTTTTCATTTTAAGTCTTGTCTTCACTGACAGCTTTTTACATACATATTAACATCTCTGATAGAGCTGTGAGTGAACACTGTGAAAACTCAATGAAACGATACCCATGATGTGCTTTACAATTAACATTTTCTTCGCATGCGTTTGAGAGTTTTCTCGCACTTCTACTCTCCGGTTTGGAATGTTTTCATTACTATTTTTATCACTATACTGATTAGCCCGGAATTTTTTTTTTTTGGTAGGCTTGAAGCACGAGAAGGTGCAGGCTTGGTGGTTTTAGAATAAGATTGCATTTTGCTTAACTGTCACTGACAAAATTACTTTAGACACTACAAACTCCACAAGTAAGTTGAACAGAACTGAACTGAAATAACAATAACACTGGTTTTAACGCACTTTATAGTAATAAACAGTGGATAATTTCGTAGAAATGAGGAATCAAAGAGTTAACGCATATATACTTAACCGGCTTTTCAATACAAATGGCCACAGGATCAAAATCTGAGAAGCCAAGTCACCGAGAATCGCGCGCACCGGTACGAACTCATTGACGCTCGAGCGTCGTGTTGAGGCGGAACAATTAAAAATTTTCTTAATAAAGAATGCGATTTTCGTTCTTAAAATTTACAGGCATATTTTTAAGATGTTAAACTATTTATGAAACAAAAAAAATCGATTTTTTTTTTATTTTACATGTATTGCGCAAAGTTTCAACAAACTCTTATCCGAAAGCTAAAAAGTAATAACAATAATTAATTATGAAAGCTCGTTAAAGTTTATGATTCTCCAAAGCTTTTGCAGATGTACTGCATAACAGTTGACTACTATTATATTATAATATAACTGGTAGAACGAATTAATGCAAATGTGAATAAATGAAGTTGGTCTAATTCTCATATAAAAAAATTAGTTAAATAAAAAACATTAACTAAAATTTATTTTAAAGAAAAAAACTTGTAAAAAATTAACGTTAGTACTATTACAACTAAATAATGAAAACTCAAACCTTGTGATCCAAAAACTTTCTTCTCTTCCAAGAAAAGAATTATTAGTTACCTATGTAGATACTTGTATACAAATACCTAACTGTATATTGTAGTATAAAGAAATTTGTTACTTTTAATGCTGAATACGACTAATTAGTGAATTTAATAAAGTAAAAAAATTAAAAATGAATACAAATAAATTATAGCGAATTGAAGTTATTTGAAATGTAATGAAAATAAACGCCTAAACTACAAAAAAAATTTAAAATTTACAATTATTATAAAATTAGTAGAAATAAGCATATATTTAGTGGAGCATGTTGAGAGTTCGTTTACTACAAAATACAAATTAAATAATAACAATATATAATTAAATAAATTACGTTTATAATTAATGCAATATTATGAAACTAATTAGTGCATTTACTTCCAGGAATTAATTGACCAACTAATCCTAAAAAACATATGAATATCAGAATAGCAAACACTTAATTAATGAATGTATACCAAATGCTATGCCTGAAAGCGGTATAAAATACACTACAATAGAAATGTGAGCTACACTTACGATGCGATACTTAATTGAAACTGTAGTATATGGTAACTTTAAAAACTGAATAATACAAAGATTAAGCAGCGCTTTGAAAGAACTAATAAATAAAAATTAATACATACAATATAACAAAATATGAAGTCTTAATATTTTAACAGTATGGCAAGGTTAGCTTTTGTTCATCAAGAAAACATAACAGAATATTTGTGGTACAAAACGCAGGCGTAGCAATTTTGTGAGAGAGTAAACTGGAAGTAGTTTGGGATAAATTTCATGAGAGTAAAAGAGAAATTTAGAACATAAGCACCGCAAGGAGTAAATTTCGTGAGAAACGTAAATAGTTACTCGAAAAAATTCAAAAAAAACATTTGCTTTAATGCTCACTCAAAAAAAAAACGTCAAATGTGCAACAAACTGAACACTTTAAAATGAAGAAAAATCAAGTACTATGTTAGTATATCAAAACAAGCTTCAAATCAAGGACAGAAACATGAATGAAAGCTGGTTACTCATTTGAAAATTGTTGAGTCATTACTTAGGTTGAGCCTGCGTTTGTTGCTTCATGTATACTGAGAGTTAAAAGTGAGTATAATTAAGTAGTTAGAGAGAAAACGGTGAAAAGTCTGTAATAACCTACACCGAACAAGAAAAAACGATAACTGCACCGAAGTTAACATATACCCTTATATACCCTTTATAAGGAGAACTAAACCTGGGAACGTAACCGGCCAACGGTCTGCTAGTTCTTTTTCGCACCGAAAAAGTTCTTTTAATCGGTCAGTTTGTATGGCAGCTACATGCTTTAGTGGTCCGTAGAGTATGAGTATGCAAAATTTCAGACTGATATGGCAATAACTGAGGTACTAGCTACTTTACGACATTTCCTTCTGTTCCAACTGCGTGGCAAACCTAATACAACCTGTTCAGGGTATAAAAATTTCATTTATGTAGGCAACAATTTTTTCCTTCAGATAAGAAGAAGAAGCAATGGTTTGAAGATGCTTTCCACTTACATATATCTCACTGGTTTCATATTCCAGTTTGTACTCATTTAACCAAAGCAGAGTATGTTAATAAATATTTATTAGAGATTAGGTTATTATAAATATTTTTTAACATCCTTTGGTGTGTCGGTTCTTAACTAAAACTGGTCCGTCGAAAACAGACGATACCTTTTCAAGCCTCCATACACCAAATATGATGATCTCGAGGCCTGACTTTATATTAACAAAACTTCGTGAAAATTTAACATAATTTACTACTAAATGGTCCAAAACTTGCTGTAACTCCCTCTATACCAAATATAACGATATTCACTCCTCCTCTGGTAGGAGGTTCCATTGTTTTGGCATTAAATTGAAGGTTTGGTTTAGCATAGTTAGAATGATCCATTTTATTCGTTAACTTGTTCCCATTTTGAAGGTTGCTTCATAATACCATTCTCTTAGATCCCTTCAGAGTTTCACAATCATCTCTTTGGAGGTAATTTCAACAGCACAATCATTCGCCATAGATAGGAACAGGTAGTAATCATTTGGTGACAAGCCCGGGCTATACACTGAATACATGTGAACCTTTCAACCAAGTCAGCCACTATCGCTTTTTATGGTTTGGCGTTTTGCTGATGGAACACAAATCCTCTCCTATTGACCATAACTGGCCACTTCTGGGCGATTACTTTCTTCAGACGGTGCCAGTGTTGACAGTTCAGGTCCGAGTTCAGAGTTTAGCTATACGGGCGCTGCACATAGTAGATGATTCGCTGTCAATCCCAGCAAACACTAAAGCTTTCTGACTGTCAATTCTGGCTTGGCCACTATTTGCGTTGGCTCACCTCGATTCGCCTAAGACCACTTTTACTTGACGTTGTCTTAGGTGTGAGCCACTTTTCATCACGCTACAGAAATTGATCGATTTTTTTACGATTCAGCAGCGTTTCGCAGATAGAAACTCGATCCATGTGGTTGTTTGGGTGGCACCCATACTTTGAACTTCTTTTTATATCCAGCCTTATTAAAATAGTTTCAAACGCTGTTTTTGGGGAATCTTTAGCAATCTTTGCGCAATCGAAAAAGTGCTTACATAACGGGCAGACTCGACAATTTCTATTATTTTATCGACAATTGATCCTCCGGTGCGTGGTTCATCTTCGGAATCAAATTTATCGGAATAGAATCAACATAACCAAAATATGGAGCTTTCCTTTAAAGTACTGTTAAAAGCTTAAACACCATTGACAGCCACCTTATCTGCGTTGCATAATTCTACCGTCAGATGCCGCTAGGTCTAACAAATAAAATAAAACTTTTCAACTTATCAAATCAACTCTGAGTCAATGACTCCACTGCGCGCTACATATGTTTGTAAAAAATATAGCTTTTTTGCCACAAGTCACTCAATATGCTGTTGTTTTGGTTCTACCTTTATTATTATTGTTTTTACTGGCGCTATTTTGTGTTTATCAAGTGAATGATTAAGCTTTTTGCTTTAGTTTATATTTTTACCCGAAATGAAGTGGAAGTGGTGTGCGAAGAAAACAAAAAATTACGGAGGAAACGCATAAAGATTGCAATTTAATATATTTCGTGGTATACGTGTATGACAACAGTTATTCGCCAGGGTAGTGTTTTTTAATAAAAATTATACATTTATTAAAACCATTGCTAAAAACTAAGCCCGAAACATGTTAGACCACTTGAATGATGATTGTTTGTGTGAGATATTCCGATATCTGAGTATCAAAGAACAGCTGATTGTGACAACACTCAACGAGCGCTTTCGCGACATAATCGTTGAGAACTTTTGGCGCAAGAAATACAACAAATTCACCACAACAGGCGATAAGAGCTTTGACGAACTCAACTTGTTGGAATTTCAAAAATTTTACGGTTACATCGTGCCACATATAAAAGAGCTAACGGTCCATACTACAGCCGATATCACATTCACCAGTTATTTGGGACGTTTTACACGCAGACCCGATCTCGATTACTATCTACACTTCGTGTATCCCACATTGCGTGTTCTACGTTGTTACGATAAACAATTCCATAATGGTCACCTTTTGATTGTACTACGTAAAAGTCCGAACCTCGAAGTACTGCGACTACATAGTACATATGTAACTGGTGAACATTTAGCGAACTTTCACAATTTACGTGAACTCTATATTTGTAGTAGTAAACTAGAAGCGTTGCATATAGACGAGCTCTTGGCGAAACGTAAAATTCTACGTATGCATTTGACGGGTGCAACGACCGTTAAACGTGATATGGATGTGGTGTTGCAACGTGTCTTCCCGCAGATAACGGAAATGCGTTACTATGATGACGATGAGCATATAGCGACACAAAATCTATTTAACACGTCAACACAGACGCTTGTGAATTTAGAAAAGCTCTATTGTAAGCATTTAAAGGACTTCGTTTACACATTGCATACGTTGAGAGAACTGTATTTTGAAAATCAATTGAAGGTCGTTGACTTGTTTAAACTAGTCGAAAATAATACACACTTGGAAAACCTCTATATTGGCACGTTGTATGAAAATTTCTTCGCAAATGCACGGGAATGGTTATGTGGTCTAACGGAATGCTTACGTAAGCAGCGCGAGCGTAAGGTTGCGCTTAGTATGCACCTAAATATGCCGCAGCGGGTCGTGCAGTATGTGCGGCAATTCGTAGTGGTGAGTTTACAAGTAAAAAATTTAAATTTTTGAAAAGCGGAATGAAAATTTTTGAAAAAATGTATTAAAAAGTGGATTTACAATTTTTGAAAAGTTAGATTAAAATTTTTGAATAGTGGAATGAAAAATTTTGAAAAATGGGCTCAAATTTGAAAAAATATATTGAACAGTGGGTTGAAACCTTTTGAATACCGGGATTTAAATTTTTGTAAAATGGATTTAAAATGTTTTAGAAGTGGGTTGAAATTTTTGGAAATGTGGAATGAAAAATTTTGAAAAGTGGGCTCAAATTTTTCGAACAGGGGTTGAAAATTTTTGATATGTAAATTCAAAATGTTTTAAAAATGGGTTGAAATTTTTGGAAAAGGGGGCTCAAAATGTTTAAGAAGTGGGTTGAAAATTTTTGAAAACTTGATGGAAATTTTTTAAAAGTGCTTTAAAAGTTTTTTTTTAAATTGGCTTACAAATCTTTGAAAAGTGTATTCAAAATGTTTTAAAAGTGGCTTAAAAGCCTTGTCTTTCAACAGGTTTAATGTACATACAATTTCGAAAACTACAAAAATTATATAAACCAAACTTGGTAGAAGTAATTCCCTTTAGTATTTCTTGCTACTAAATGGGTGACTTTGGATTGTCACGATGCCCATTCCTATACAAAGGTTATGTTGAAAACTAAGTATTCAATGTGAGTGAACTCGCTTAAAAAACGTCAGAAGCTTTAAATTTAATGGTAGATATGGAACAAGATTGCATTGAATTGGTATTAAAATTGAACAATGGGCGAGGCAAAACCCAACACTTTGAGGTAAAATGTTATATCTCAGCAGCTCCTCGACCTATTCCAACCGAATTCGATAGATATCCCTTGCTTAAAGCTAGGAAATGGGGAAACAATTTTAAATTCCATATTATCCTTTTACTTCTGTTAATGCCTTCAATCTGTGGCAGCACTTATCATAATCGGACTATAACTTTTCGAGCCCCATTTACCAATAAATAAGCACCTCAAACCCTCTTACTGGTTTTTACGGGAAATATCGGTCAGTCTGTAAGATATAGAGTGAATCTATGACTATATTCGAGGCTTTTTTCAACATTTTAATGTTTATTTAAGAAAAACATGTAGTAATGCCCATCTAAAGCTATAACGATTTCCCATCTTTCTGACAATCGACCAGACAAATGGTAGTCAGAACGGGCAAGATCTGGGCTGTAAGGGCAGGTGAAGCGAAATTTCCCAGTTGCTGTTTGAAAAATTATTGCTTCGTGTCTAGTCGCAGATTCCGAGCGTTTTTCAGCCGTCCTTAAATTCAATTTGATGAGTTCTTCTCGGTAGCGTTCCTCAAGAATGGTTTCTTTTGTTTAAGAAGCTCGTAATACAGTACGCCCCTCTGATCCCGCCTAATTCAGAGCAATACCTTGGCATCAGGGTTATTCGGCTTTGCCGTTGTTTTGGCGAGTGGCCAGGTTTCACATATGATTTTTTGCGTTTAGGGCTGTCGTAATAGATCTATTTTTGATCACCAGTCAAAATCCGATACAGAAACGATTTATTTTTGTAATGTTCAAGCAGCATTTTTGACATTCAAAATCGACTTTCAAAGTCTCACATGAAACCCACATTCTTTGCTTTTGAATGTATTCGGCTGCTTTTGAACGTTTGAAATGGCCGCTTAAGTAACTTCCCTCTGCGAACTTTTCTTGTGTTTGACAACAATCTTTATGTAGTAATGCTGCCGGATTCAAATCTTAAAACTTCTTTAGCCACTCGGGACGTTCTTCGTCTTCCAAACCAAAATCACTATCATTTTTAAATCATGCAAACCACTTATAGTGCGTTCGTTCAGCTGGAGCTGATTCACCATAAACTTCCACCAATATACGATGACTTTCGGCTAAGAAGAACTCTCCGCAGAAACACTTTTTCAGGCCCAAATTTTGACTTATTTGAGTGAAAATATGAATTATTGTTGATAACGCTGCCGAAGCATATTCTGAATATTGGAACAATTGAATAAAAACACAGGTCCAAAAAAAATAAAAACGTTTAGGGGTTCCTTTCCTCAAACCTGGTGTATTTTAATTTTTCGTCCGCCATGCAGTTTCGCAATCAGCTAACATTTTATAATTTATTTAAAAGCTTCATTATTTATTTTTTATACTTTTAGGATTATGATGGTGCTCATGGTTACCTAGTACCAGTTCTAAAAATTCAAAAAACTGCTGTCAATACGTCTATATCCACGATGTTGATCAATAAAACTGGCATTGAGTTGGCGCTCAAGTGGAGTTGATGTAATAATTTAAAAAAAAAAAAATAAGTGTATCGAGAACAGTCAAAAATTTTATAATTTATTTTGAGTATTTAGTAGAGCATTGTTTGTCACAAGAATAACTAGTCCGAAAACAAAGCACATGTATTAATAATAAAAAACCAAAAGATAGCGATCTTGCCTTCCAAATTTACAGTATTGCATTTAAAGGCATAAAATTATTGTGTTAAAGATTAATAAAAAAATGTGTGTATATTAAAGTACTTGTTATATTTATAAAGATTTTTTAATAAAATAATTTTAAATAAATATAGAAACATTGGCTTAATCTTAAATTGTGGTGCACGGTTTTTGTTGATATCAATTGCGTGGATTTAGCCATATCTAGTCGATCTCATGGGACCTGCCCAAGAGATCTGCGTTTATTTTGTTGAAGGTTGTTCGTAGAACCTCTTCCTCTTATTATCGTTTATCAATTCAGGCTCCGCCAAACATTTATCACATTTCATCAGCTCAATTTTGTATCTAGCCTAGAGATAACGTAATTGGCTGAAATGCTCGCATTTCAAGTCAACCCTTCCACCTAGATTCTTGCGACAAAAATTACGAAGCATTTAACTATGATGATTCTACAATGTTGACGGATTTGCTTTTTTCAAGCTTTTTCCATTTTTAGAATAATCTCTACGTGTTTCTGTTATGACTCCGCCATTTTTTCATGGTAACTATGCTTCAAACCCTCAAGGAAACCAGTTTTAACCTGATCCATAAACCCAATTGTACTTTATAAGTAGTGTTTATTCTATTTAATATCTGGTCGAAATTAGTAGCTGGAGAAATGTCATAGTATTTTTAGATAATCGTAACTTGTCAGGCCAATTTCAAAATATGTGAAAAAAATGTAACTGTGCTCCATATTCTTTATTAGTATATAGTAGGTATAAATACTTCTCCTTAGTTGACAATTACTTTGACAATTATTTATTTACCGCTATATCAGTATGTGTTGACTTCTGTCAGTATTTATGTCCGTTTCAAAAGTGTTTAAAATTGAAAAAATGTGAAGGGACCGCTGACCAAGTCGTTACGCAATCAAAAATCAATTGTGCCAGATGACAGTGTGTCCAAATATTCCCGCGTTATAATTTAATTATTCAAAACGTAATGATAGTGGATTGATGGTTTTAACTTTTTACCTTGGAAGACATATCTATATGCATATGTAAATGGTATATAAACTTATATTCGAAGGTATTTACATGCACTCGGTTACATATTTTTATTCTTGAGGAAGCAGACATACATTTCTCTATTCGAAGTAGAAGTTAGTTTCAGTAAAGAAGCGTGTCTTTCAATCCTCTAGTGAAACGCTAACCCATTTATTGATTTCAAGGCGTGGGAATTAACGGCAATTATAAGCAAACGTTGATGATTTTTTCAAAATAATATTAAATACTCGTACAATCGAATTAAATTTTAATTACTTACAAAGAATTGTTACAAAGTGGAAAAATTTACGAGGTAATTTTATAACTGTACGCAACTTCGGCGCACCGTAGCTAAAATACTCTTCATAGGCGCTTAGCATATAAGGGTACAAAAATAAATTTACATTGATTTTGATTGGTCAGTTTGTATGCTATAGAGGTGCGATTGTTTGGAGATTGTAGCATTGTCTTGGACAAGAATTCATACCGAATTTCGAGAAGATATCTGGTCAAATAAAAAAGTTTTCCATACGAGCGCTTGATTTTGATGTATCAATTTGTATGACTATACACTATATCGTTTCCTATAGTGGACCAATATCGCCAGTTCTGATAAATGTACTTCAAATGAGTTATGAGGATCAAATGAGGATATAAAAAGTTATATACTAAGCATTTTGTAATTTCTAACCTAGAATATCCAAGATATTGCCTATGTAATTTAGCGAGTATAGAATCGAACAAAAAACCTCATGAATTGCCTATTTATTGGATGAGATAAGAATTTAATTGAGTTTTGCATCGCGATCTTAGGTCTATTGTGCCCTCTCCTCTAACACATATATTCACAAAGGCCCAGCACTAAATAAATTTTAGATACTTTCTGGGCGCTGTGTGACCTATCCACAAATATGGATCCAAGGGCCTTGAGCCTACATCTACATATTGTTGTGCAACCTAGAATCAGGAGCTTAGATGTTTCCGTTTCATATTGCAAGACCGGCAGTTAACACAGGAAGCCATGTTGGACAAGTGCTTTCTAAACATAAGTATAGAATGCGACTAGTAGACGGAATTTATCTCTGGTGAAGGTAATCATGTCTTTAAACCTTCTTAAGTTGTATGCTCCCATTAGCAGCTTTAGTTGGCGCATACCTATTGCTTGCTGCCAGTAATTTTCTTTGAACACCCTCTCCTCCTTTATGGTGTCGGACTCCACCGCAATACAGAGTTCTGGTCTCATCATTCTAGCAGCCGCAGAAAAGCGGGCAAGTTCGTCAGCCAGCTCATTGTCGGCTGCCCCTTTATATATCGGCATCCAGATCAAGTGAACACGATTGCAGACTGATAGGCTATTTAGCCTTCCTATGCACTTTTCCACTAATAGCCATTTAATATCATAGGCTGAGATCGCTTTTAGCGCCTCTTGACTATCGTTGAGTATGGCGATACGCTGGTTGCGATAGTTGCGTTGGAGATTAATTTCTGCACACTGACTTATAGCAAAGACTTCTGCTTGAAAAATGCTCGGAGAACATCCCATGGGTATTTAAAGTCTGGTGTGTGGTCCTGCAATACTTGCACCAAAACCTTCTGATCTTTTCGAGCCGTCATTGTATTTTCGACCATTGTGTTGCCCCTCAGTAGTAGGTCAAGCGTAGAATCCCTTCACTCAGCCTTACTTTCGAGGGTAACAGACTCATAATCAAATATATTTAGACCACCGGGCGATTATAACACACAATAAATGCAAGCGATAAAGAAGAGCAGAGCAGTCTTTGTGCTGTGGAAGAGACTTCGCTGTTGTTGCTATTATTATAGACACGGAAAAGACTCCTCGAATAATTTAGAGGAATGCTGTAAAGTTGACAGTCTTTGGGCAAATAAAAATTCGACTCCATCCTGGTTGTGTAGCTTTGAGTAGGCGACCAGGTGACATACCATAATTCTGCTCGATGGTTTTGGAGCAAAAATTTTGCTTCCACGCAGAAACTTCCGATAACCTCTTTGCAACTGTCTGCTCTCTGACACTAATATTAAGCAACTTGATAAGAGAAAGAACGAGAATATTTAGCGAATGAAGGCTCTAAGCGTTCGATGCGTTTGAGATGGCTTGGCTAGAATGCTTCTGCGTTGCATTTTATGTCTAAACTTTTCTTGTTTAAGCATGTCAAATCGGCTTAAAACTGCAAGATGTACAAGAAAATGTTAAGAAGGAATCGAAAAGAGTACTCAGACTGCACGCTAAATTAAAAAGGCGAAAAAAAGGATACAAATGGCTAAAATAAACGAATCTTGAACCATAAACGATGGAAGGAACATTAATATATTCCTTAATGAAGTCAAAATAAGCCTTTTGGGTTCGGATAGTAAGTCGTACGTGCGATGTAAAGTTGGAACGGTTTAAAAAATTAGTGCCTAAGCCGGACCGGCGCGGCGGATCTGGAATGATCTGGAGATGCTTTTTTAATATAGGGTTAGAGACCTGTCACTTAGTCACTGTACAACTGTAAACGCGATAAATTATTAAGAAATTTTAGGCCATAATCTTATACCATTCATTCGGAGAATTTTTCGCAAGCCGAAAGTGCTATTAATTATTATTAATGTCCTTTCTCATCGTGCAAAAACGTTAAGTTACATTTCTATGTATGTGTTATTTGGCTTAGTTCTTGTTTCTTTTTTTTTATAAGAAAATATGAATAAAATGAATAACTTGATTGCACTGGCCGGGCATTAGCGCTAATTTGAACCCAATCGAGAACCTTTGGTTAACATTCAAAGTTAAAGTAACGAAAAAGAACCACGGAACTTCAGAAAATATATATTCGATACATTGGAATAACTCTGGAAGCAATCCAAAATAATAGTGGATTCTATGCCAACACGTATCAAACTTACTTTCAAATATTAAAGAAAAATGTTTACGTTAAATTATCGCAATTAAAAAAAATTAAAAGAGAAAAACATAATTGATAGCTAAAAGATAATTAATTTAATTAGCTACCATAGTTATTTGATTAATTTCTTAAAAATTGCTTCAAATTATCAACGCTTTTTAAGAAAATTTGCAAAACGTGCCCACTAATGTATGCGTAAAAATTTGTTATTGCACATATGAAATTAATTTTAAACAAAAATTTCACTAAATAAAAATTTAATTATTCCAGAATTTTTCTTTTGTATTACATGTATTACGCATATATAAATTTCCCCCAGCATCAGCGTAGACAACACTGACACATAACGGTACTTAGCAAAATTCCGCTAATCAGCTTTTTTAATTGCTAATCAATATAATACACTGCCAAAGCAAACATCACAAATATATTTCACAATTTCCCACTTACTTGCTGCATTCTCCATTTCCTTTAACCAAATTCTACTTCCGCTAATATTTATGCGGACACAATTATGCCGCATCATTTCCGTCGCCATATTTGGAGCAGCTTCTCTTGCTCGCAGCGGTCGGCATTTTTACAACACTACACACTTTTTCACTCACTTATTTATTAATCACACTGCGGTAAAATGAACTAATATACACATTTGCATATTCAAATTGTTTTAAACTTTTCATTAATACACAATTTACGACACTTATCACAATAAAAAACGGGTATAAAAGCACACAAACACGACAAACATCACAAAGCACATCCTCAGCCAACGAATCGTTTCACTGAAGAAGAAACGAAACGTAAATAAGAAATGCCGCTGACCGTGGGAAAACGACGAGAAGCTAACAGGTGACAGCTCTGTCGCTGCCTACGGCGCTGCTTAGCGTGAGAACATGCAGGCGGCCTATGGAAACGCTATGGGAGCTGCAAGCAGACCGCTGTTGTCGTTACCGTCGACGTCGGTCGTTTACGTTTTCTCTGGCGCAGTCGACTGCGTAGCAGTGTTGCTAAACTTGTTATTGCGCCTTGAGGGAATAAAAGCAGTAAGCAATTTTGTTGTAGTTGCAAATTTACGAGAGAAATAAAATATTAATTTGTGTTTTTATAATAAATATCGGTTGTGTGTTTTTTTAAAAGTGTTACATAATCGCTGTTGTATAATTTTATATAAAATTATACGTAATCTAACAACAAAATTTCCCTGTAAAAAAATCCCTCTAACTAAAAGGTGCAGCATTGCCAGTTCGCACTGCGTACGTTTGGCAACGAAACAAAACTACAGCGAAACAAAAATCAGCGAGTCAACTGTGGAGCGCTCAGTCGGTGTTTTAACTTTAAAATGAAAATAACTTTTAAAATTTAAACCAAGACGCGCTTGTGCAAGTCCAAATACTAAACAAATCGAATTTATTGAATGAAAGGAAGTGCTTAGCATAAATGCAGGACTTTCGGTGAAGTGCAATAACAGTCGCTTGTAAATGCATTTTGTATTTGAAACAATTGTGAACATTTAGAACGAATGGGAGTGTGAACATCTGTCAGTTTGCGGTCGCGCTGCTTCTTCCTTTCGTCGCCACTGTGCATTATTGTTGGTGTGTTGTGTGCAGTTTTGTGTTGTTTTTAACTGCTTGGTACGCTTTTGCTACCATTAATAAATTGTCGTGTGTGTGTGATAAACAAAAGCGTGTAGTAATTTTTATAACAAATAATATTTTATTTATAATACACCACAACTCGCAGTTCAACAAAATTATGCGTATCGGAGATAAACGCGCCACCAAATCACTAAATATCACACTGTAACGCAAGTGCCAAATTTTTTAAACGCAACTCTGCCAAATTTTTACACAGCGGAAATAAACAATACGTCCAAATAAGTAAACGTTAGCATATACAATTAAGTGTTCTACGTGCGTGTAGTTTTCAAACATGGAAATATACGCGCCTACACACACATTTGCCTGCAACAGCTTCGCAATCATATTCGCTAAATGAAGAGTTATAGTGATTACCATATTGGCACCCCTCCCAGCAGCACTGCAACCGCATTGGAGCATCACTTGGAACAGTATAGCCCCACAGCTATTAGCACCTTAGCCAACGGTCACCAGCATCATCATCACCAACAACAGCAGCAGCAGCAGCAACAGCACTCACCCGCACACCAGCACCATCATCAATTGCTGCACCATCACTCAACGCATTTACACGACCTCAACGATTCGCTGTCACCACCCACGTCCATATTGCAAACGCATAACGCTGCAGCCATATCGGCAGCTGTTGCAACGTTGCCACAAATGCCGCACTTTGGACTTGGTGGCGGTGTAGGTGGCGCTTATGCGCAAACACCACCCAGTCCGCCGGTACATCATGGCGCTGGCGGTGGTGGTGGTGGCTTATTGCCACCCAATTCGCCACATCATCATCAACAGCAACATCACCAGCAACAACAACAGCAGCAGCAACATCATCTTGCAATGCTGCCGCGCGGTTTGAATGCTGGCAGCGGCGGTGGTGGTGGCGGTTGTGGTCCGCTCATGTCTACAGGCCTGAATTCCAATGCGGTTGGTGTGCCATATCGGCCACATATTGAGGATAAAAAATTGACACGAGATGCAATGGAGCGTTATATGCGCGAACGCAACGATATGGTCATTGTGATTCTACATGCGAAGGTGAGCGTTATTTATAATTCAACGACACAAATTAATTCTGTATTGTTTGTATATTTTTAGTTGCACAATATTTTTGTAAAAAATATGCACAAAGGCGTAAAAATGCTTAAAGGATGTGACTGAATAAGTGATTTGCGTAGGCAAACATTTTTTTTTTTTAATATTTGAAAAGTGAAGCACAAATGTTACTTTTTTATAAAAAAAAATTGCTCACAAATTTGCGATTATCGCGAATGTTTCGATTTTGGAAACCGAAATTGGACACAGATCCATATTCCGTCAAGATCCCTAAACCAAAAAGTTTATTAACAACAACTAATGAAATTAAGCTCAATTAGTTTGCCTCTTGAGGGCATGGCAGTGTCCCAATTTTCTCTGCTTTCTGCGTTCCATGATAATTGATTCTGCGTAATCGGAACGAAGCTTGATTTTTATTCGGTCAAGGACTTTCAACTCGGCGGCATTTCATTTCAATTATGTAATTCTTTGAGCATTGTTCTATACCTCTATAACAATCACAATAATCCAACATTTTTGATTAAACAGCCTCCGTTTTGAAAGAATGCAGAAGTCACTTTTGAGGCTGGTAGACTAAAAATTCATCTTCAGCATGTTGTAAAAAACAAAGTATGTACTGTTATCTTCTGGATTTCTATTATTATCGTAATATTTCTAGAGTTAGACCGAATAATCTAAAATACTAAAAATTTTGCAATTCGCCCAAAAGAAATCAAAGATATTTTGATTATTTCTATAAAATAAATAAAAAATTTTAAAGACACAAACAAATAAGAAATTTTTCTGGATAACAACATATGTATTTACTGATAACAAAAATAATTCTATTATCTGTGTATAAAAATTTATGTAATTTTTTTTACTGATATCTACAACAAAAAAATGTAGGTTTTCAGTATATAAAAATACATATTTTTTTTTAATAAAAATAATATTCACGCCCTCAAATGCTGCTGCAGAGCATATTTTGTAAAGAAGTCCATTTAGTAACAGATTAAAAACAAAGAACATAAATTTTTGATTATCAGTATCGCCCTGTACTGCATAAAAAACGTTGATCCTGCAAAATAATAATTTAATTTATTAAAAATTTCTCACTCAAAGCTCTATCCTGCACTTATGTAATTAAATTACAATGTTTACGTCGCCTTCGTTGTTAACAAAACACAATGCAACACAATTAATTTCATTTCATGCCTCATCATCCATCCGCTCCAATCAAATCTAAATCATAACTTGAAATCACATTTAAAAAAAAACTTCAGCGACCGCAACAAAGCAATTAGCGACAAAAATTTGCAAAATCAATCAAATGCACAATAACAACAATAAAACAACAATGCCAAATAGACAAATTGAAAGCATGAATATATACGCAAAAAAATATTAAAAAGTGCAGTAATTTTAATTTTCATTAATTAAATACAATTATTTGATTGCATTGCTCATTATTGCGCCGCAAGCAAGGCGCAGCACAATTAACAACGCAGCAGCAGGCACTGGCTGCCGGCTGTCTTACAATTTTTGCATGCAGCCAAGTGTGAAGGATGTGGTGTTGGCCGCAACAAGTGTTGCAGGCAGCAGCAACAACAAAAAATAATAATCAATCAGTTAGCACCCGACCAAGGGCCGCGCCAAAAGCAACAAATAGTTGAGATATTGTGTATGTGCGGTAGACAATGCCGGCAGTCGCGCGGTGGCATGTGCGCGCCGGCGAATGACTTGCGTTGATCCACTTGTTAAACCGATTGCTTGGGTGATTAGCGACAATTCGTGCAACCGCAACTCAAAATTTATAAATACATACATATAGACTGTGGCAGTTGTTGTCGTTTTGTATTAATATTTCGATTGGTGCGCTGTCCGAGTACAATTTGCACGGCGACTTGTAGAAAATTTGATTGAAATGTAATTTAATAGCAATAACTGATTCGTAAATATGCTTTGTGTTGTTGTTTTTGATTTTGCATGCGCTGCCATTCAAATGTAAAACCGCGCAGTGATCGCATTTTTGCTGCAATTATTGATTTGCAATTATTCTGTTTGTCAATTTGGTATTCTTGTGGTTTCCGTCAATAAAAATGTGATTTAAAAAATGCCATATTATTATTATTTTTTAATATAATTCAATTACTCACCACCACATTTCCTTCTTTTGCACGTCGCACTCTGTTACAGGTCGCGCAAAAGTCATACGGCAATGAGAAGCGTTTCTTTTGTCCACCACCGTGCATTTATTTATTCGGCAGCGGTTGGCGCCGCCGTTACGAGGAGATGCTGCAGAAGGGCGAGGGTGAACATTGCGCTCAGCTGTGCGCCTTCATCGGCATCGGTAGTTCGGATCAGGATATGCAACAACTCGATTTGAATGGCAAACAATATTGCGCGGCCAAGACGCTGTTCATTTCCGATTCGGATAAGCGCAAACATTTTATGTTGTCGGTGAAGATGTTCTACGGCAATGGACACGACATCGGCGTGTTCAATTCGAAACGCATTAAAGTCATATCGAAGCCATCGAAGAAGAAGCAATCGCTGAAAAATGCCGACCTGTGCATAGCGAGCGGCACCAATGTGGCGCTGTTCAATCGCCTGCGCTCGCAAACGGTGTCGACGCGTTACCTGCATGTGGAGAATGGACACTTTCATGCGTCGTCGACGCAGTGGGGCGCCTTCACGATACACTTGCTCGACGACAATGAATCGGAGTCGGAGGAGTTCCAGGTGGGTGCCAGAATTTATGTTTTAAATTTGCTGGAATTTGTACTTTGATTTTATTGTTGTAATTTCGATCAAATAGTGTTGTTGTTTTCTCTCTAAATTGAGTTTGGAATTTAATTTAACATTTTTTTATGTAATCACTTAATATTTAATATTTTATTTTATAAAAAAAAATATTTTCATGCAGTCAATTATTGGAATTTTTTTTAATTTAATCTTTTATATTATGTTTTTCCCCAAACCGTCTAAAAAAATTAAAAATATATTTTCTTATTAGGGGGTTATTAAAAAAATTTTATAAACTTTTTTTTAAATAATCCAAATATTTCTTATAATTTTTTAAAATTAAAAATTTAATTTTTTAAAATTTTTTTATTCTCAAAATTGTTTTATTTAATTTAAATTGTGATTTCGTCTAATGTTCTGTAATCACTTTATATTTAGTAATGTAATTTAAAGAAATAGTTATTTTAATGCAATAAATTCAGCCCAAAATATGATATAATATAAATAAGATTATTCAAATCTGGCTTCAAATCAAAATTTTCCAATAATTTCTTAAAAACAAAAATTTTTAAATTTTTAGTATTTTTTTTTTTTTAATTTTTACGCGTTGACCAAATTATTTTACTTAATTTCTTTAATACCTTCTTCTAAAGATCTTTTTTGTAGTTCTCTAAATTAAGTTTTTCTTGTCTTGATTTTTTCTTTCTTAAATAAATATTTTTCGAATTTAATCCTTTTTAGTTCTAATATAATTTAATAAAAAATCTACATTTAAGCAACATTCTAATAGTATATTTAATTAAAAATTCGCGTCTTAATTTTTTTACTATAAATATTTTTTTGTTTTAATAATTTCATTTCTTGAATAAAATGTTTAATTTTATTTTTTTTTTTTAAATTAATTTTTACCTTTAATTGAAAATAATTTCAATCTTAATTACTGTTTTTATTTATTTTTTCCTAATTTTGAATGTTTTTTATTTATATGACAACTTTCTGTTAAAAATCAATTTAATTGTTTTTAAACCTCTTTTAACTTTCGCATATGATTTCTTCACATTGCTTTATTTTTTAAGTTTTTTATGCTTAATGACTTTTTTGTAATTTATCTCTTTTTATTTTTAAAAATTTTTTAAATATTTTTAAAGTTATTATTTATTGTAATTTTTTTATTTGTTTGTATTTAAAAAAAAAAAATTTATTTGTTTATATTAAAAATTATTTTTCTATATTTAAAAAAAAAAAATTATTTTTAAGTATTTATAATACAATTTTTTGTTTATTTATGGTATTTTTAGTAAAAAAAAATTTTTTTGTTTTCTAATTTCCAATAATTCCTTACTTATTTCTCCCTCTCACCCCTCAGGTACGCGATGGCTATATTCATTATGGTGCGACGGTGAAACTGGTGTGTTCGGTGACGGGTATGGCGCTGCCACGTCTTATCATACGCAAAGTGGACAAGCAAATGGCACTGCTGGAGGCTGACGATCCGGTGTCACAATTGCATAAATGCGCTTTCTACATGAAGGACACGGATCATATGTATCTCTGCCTGTCGCAGGAGAAAATCATACAATTCCAAGCGACACCATGTCCGAAAGAACCAAATAAAGAAATGATCAACGACGGCGCCTGCTGGACGATCATCTCGACAGACAAAGCTGAATATCAGTTTTATGAAGGAATGGGTCCAGTGGGGTGAGTTTGTTATAAGATGATGTACGATGTACCTAACAGTACCAGAAAGTTTTCTGGTACGTGGAAATAATTAACAAAAGTTTAACTTTAGTTATTTTCTTTTTTTTTGTCAGAAATATATGTATATATTTTTTTTATATTTCGAAAATCGCTCTTTCAATCCTTTCGTAGCTCCCCCGTCACACCGGTGCCAATTGTAAATTCACTTAACTTGAATGGCGGCGGCGATGTAGCGATGCTGGAACTGAGCGGCGACAACTTTACGCCGCACTTGCAAGTCTGGTTCGGTGATGTGGAGGCGGAAACAATGTACCGCTGCACGGAAACACTGCTATGTGTGGTGCCGGAGATCTCACAATTCCGTGGTGAATGGTTATGGGTAAGTGGAAATGCAATAATTTAAAAAATATATTTTTTATTTTTGCTTGTAAATATTTGTTAATTTTCATTTTAAAAAAATTTTTATTAGTTAAATATTAATTAATTTACATTAAAATTCCAATTTTATTTTATGTCAATTTTTTAATTTTAAATTATTATTTTTTATTTTTTGTAATTTTATTTAAAATTTTTTTTTATTATTGTTTTTTTTTATTTTTATTTTTGTTTTTTATTTTTGTATTTTTTTTTATATTTTTGTATTTATTATTAGTTTTTGAAATTTTTAATTTGCTTCGTCTATGTGCCAAAATATAATTATTGGGAGTTTTAATATTAAAATATTATATACATTTTCATATATACATATATATGTACATATGTACATACTTACATAATTATTATTGTTTTTTATTGATTTATTTAATATTTTTGTTTACTTTTTAATTTTTTGTTTATATTATTATGTTTGTATATATATAATAAAATGTTCAAATTTATATTATCCTATTTTTTTTTTAATATTTGGAATTTTTTTATTTTTGCTTAAATTTTTAATGTCTTTAATTTAAAATTTTATTTTAATTTTTAATTTCTAATTTTTATAATTTTTTTTTTAATTTTTGATTTTTTTCAAATTTTGAATTTTTTAAATATTTAATTTTTATTACTTGATGTCTTGCCAATTTTTTGTTTTGATAAATTAAACTTTTTTGTGCAACTTTTACATATTTTCAAATCTACCAATATTTCTAAAACTCGCCACAAATTTTTATTCCCCTCTCCCCTGTACCCTACAGGTTCGTCAACCCACACAGGTGCCCATCTCGCTGGTGCGCAACGATGGCATCATTTATGCGACTGGTTTGACATTCACCTACACGCCGGAGCCTGGTCCACGACCGCATTGCACACAGGCCGAGGATGTTATGCGAACGCGCAGTGCAACAGCAACAACAAACAACAATAACGGCAATAATAACAATGGTGGTGGTGGTGGTGGTGGTAATACTGGTGTTGGCGTCCTCACGGGCAACAATAATAATTTAAGTGGCATGAGCAACAATAACAACAATGTTGCGCACTCACCCGACGATGGTGGCGGCGCGAACAATGCAACGTTAAATACCAGTCATCAAATGCACCAAACATTGCCGTCCATGAACGAGGTGCAGTGGAATACGCACGGCGGTGGCGCATTGTCCTGAGTGCGGGCGACGCATATGCTGTCGGCATATTACGGTGTGGCTCTGGTGGTGGAGCAGACATTTTTTATGCTTTAGAAATTAGTGAATTGTTTACGTGGATACTCTTATTTTTTATTATGTGAAATTTTTATGAATTTAATTTTTTTCATATTTTTGTAATTATTTTTTAATTTCCGTAAATTACGTATTTTTATATACTTTTTATAGTTTTTTTTTTTTTAATTTTATTTCTTTTTTTTTAAGTTTGTTATTTTTTTTGATTTTTGTAATTTTTTTTGTTGGTTTTATATTTTTTCAACAGTTTTTTTATATTCTTTTAAGTATTGTTTTTATATATTCAAATTTATTTTAAATATTTTTTTTAGAATTTTTTTTATAAATATTTTTTTTAGAATTTTTCTTTGTATTGTTTTTTGAAATTTTTTTTTTAAATATTTTTTTATATTTTTAAATATTTTTTTTTAATTATATATTGTTTTTGAAATTTGGTTTGAAATATTTATTTTTTAGAATTTTTTTAATTATATATTTTTTTAGACATTTTTTTTTAATTTATATATTTTTTTAGAAACATTTTTTGTTATATTATGGCTTAGAATTTAAAAAAATTTTGTTTTTAATATATTTTAAATCAATATTTTGCACAACAATTAGTCGCTGTGTATTCTATGTAAACAAAAATGCACACACACACATACAATTTATACATATGCAGATATAATATTCTTTATAGTTTCTTACACACACATTCAAGCAAAGAAATCATGTTACTAAATAGCTGTCAAAGTTTTCATTCCTGCATAGATTGCAAACATTCAAAACTAAAAATGTCAATATCAGGGATAAGTTTTAATCAAAAACTACTGCAAATGCTTTTTACTATAAATAGTCCCTGTAGAAAACAGTAAGCAACAAAAAAAAAAACAAAAAACCAGAACAACAAATGCATCCAAAATGAACAAACAAACAAGTATACATACCTTTTATACATATACATTTATATACAAAACAAAGATCACTACATACATATGTAGAAGTACATACAAGAGAAAAAAAATTGTGGACAATTTTTATATGAAAACAAAATTTCTTTACACTGATTTTTAGACGCGTAAGTTGCCTAGACTTAATTTAGCCTTTAATGCAAATGTAACTGTACATATATATACAAACTTATATACATAGTTCAGTTAATTATGATCGCATGAAGCTAGAACAAATTCTATATTTTAGATACAAATCTCAATGAAATTGGACACAAACGGACCGCGACCGTCGCAGACATATGCCTACAACTGTATTTGCATAGTTTTAAAAACACAAATTGAGAATATTGCATTTTTTTTTAAATGAATGCCGCAAACTGTACTAGTACATAGCAACATAAAATCATATATACATACATATATATATATATATGCATATATGCATACATATTTTATACGTTAAGCTATTTATATATACATACATGCATACAAAATATATATTATACTATATATATATTTCTACATTATCTACTAGAGAAGCGTATGTGCACGCATGCGCCTGTGCGGGCATATGTAAAATTAGTTAAAAGGAAGCAAATCAAATAGTTTAAAATTAAGCATATTTTATTAGTAAGTGAACTTAAAAAGACAAAATGTAAATTAAGAAAACAAAAAATTTTAGTTTAAGTAAGCAACTGAAACATTACCAGAGATAAATAAATTATTTTGTAAAAAAACAAAAATATGCGTAAAACAATGTGTTATAATTTATTGTAAATGGAGGGCAGTTGTAGTTAGCAGAATTTCTTAAAATATTAAGTCTTTTCAAGCGTTTGCAGCGATTCGGAGTATTTTCGGAGTTTGACCAAATAACATATTCTTCATTATTATTATAAATATAAATCAATCTTATTGATAATTCGCACTTTTCGGACACTTTCGGAGTGTTTTATAACAGTTGAGAAAACTAAATGTTATTATTGTTGTTGCTGTAATGCCAACAACCAAAGAAAAAATTCTGGTATTAAAATAATTTTTTTTAACTTTTCGGAAATTCGGAGTATTATAAAATTGTTCTTATAAAAGAGTTGTTGTTGTAATACCAAAAGTAAAAGAAAACATTATAGTGTTAATATAAAGATTTTGAACCTTTCGAACACTTTCGGAGTATTATAAATGCATTAAGAAAGCCAAATACCAAAACCAAAAAAATAAACACAATAACAATCATGTATTTGTAATTTCTAAACTTTTCAGGCTATCCTATATCGTTCGACACTTGTTTTCATGGTTTAATAAAATTTTCGGAGTTTAATGTAGTAATTTTTTAATTATGTTCAATTTCTTATCTAATAGTACTAGATCGGATTTTCTAAAGACCCTGCACCCATTAGTTACTAATTATTGTCGCTTAACACTTACTTTGTTGGCTATACAGATTTTCGGAGTAGCTTTTAGTAATTTTTAAAATTTTCAACAGTTTGTATGGCTATAGCGCGTTTTCGGAGTAACTGAATGGTAGTCAGCAAACAAAACATATGCGTATTTTTTTGTCGTTTGTCAGCATATTCGGACTATTCGATGTGGTGGCGGCGATGTCTCCCCCTTTCAACTGGCTTTTTCGGATTAGTACTTTTTTACTGCCGACATCTTTTTTTTTTATTTTCATAGCGGTTTGCTGATTTCGTTAAAATATAGAGCATTTATTTTGCAAGTACATTTTTCTATTAGACTTTTTCGGAGTGAAATACAAATAGAATCGAGCGCTTCCTAATCGCTTAGATGTAAGTGGTTTGAAGTTTTCATGAAATCATAAGATGAAATTACTTTTCAATAAATTAGCGACTTGTTTATTAATATTTTTCGGAGTTTCGGAATGGACTTTTTTGTTTGAATTCTGCATATTAGGAATGTTTCAAAAATCATAGAAGTTATATAGCTAAAAAGATTTTGAATGAGCAAATTTTCGGAGTTTAATGATGCCGAAGAAACGCAAATTAAACTGTGAATCAACTTTTGTATATAAGGTAAAGTTATCTGAAGATAATATTTGTTTAAAATAAATCATCCGAAATGATTCGGAGCAAAATTTTAGAATTTTCGGAGTAAAGTTTTAATTTATTTTTACAATAAAATTATACTGACAAATCAATTTCGGAAAGGTAGCTCCTAATTATTCGGAGTAATAGTGAATTTTCAGAATTTTTGGTTGGAAAATGTTGACTATTAAGATTTAATTGTAGGCAAGTTGTTTCGAACCATTCGGAATAAAGGCAGAATTTTAGAACTTACAGAGTTAAACTGTTAAACATGTTGAAATATACTAGCAAAGGTTATTTCTAACTATTCGGAGTAATAGAAAAAAATTCGGAGTAAAAGTTGGAATTATTTCTAAAGCTAATATTAACTGTTTACAACACAATAATAGCCGAAACATTAATTTCTAATTATTAGAATAAAAATTAAAATTTTAGATTTTCCGAAATACAATTTTGATTAATTTTTAAAACAATTGTACTGACAAATCATATTTGACAAATAATTATTCGAAGGAAACGTAAAATTTCAGAAATCGAAGTAAAATCTTAAAATATTTCTAAAGATAATGTTTACTGTTAAAAACAAAATTTATGCTTAATTATTAGAATAAAACGGAATTAGTCATCGGTTTATCTGAACACCAAAATCTTTCCGTGCTTCATTAATTATACATTATAATGTCTATCTGCTACAACAATTAAAATGTGCAACTGAAACGCAATAACTTGCCCAAACCTTGACGTTGACAGCCCGAACGCCTCAAGAAGAGGAGACGAAGTTGAGGATGATTTATATCAGCTCCTTGTTGATCATTCATTAGCAACTTAAATTGCCGACTATCGCTCATTTGTTATCTACTAACATTTAATTACTTCAAAATTAACAATTGCAAGGCAGCGCAACAACAGCAACAACAATAGCAAGGAATTGCAATATCTACGAAAAGCTTCCCACGAAATAGGATGGAGCAAATGTTAAATATATAACGAAAATGCAATAAATGCAATGCACTTGAGTGCGCACAAATACTTGCCAACCCTCTGCCTTCCACCCTTTTCCACCCATCACTTTTCGTTAAATGTATGCATGTACGTGTCAAGATCGCATTGCCATTAATGATGTTGCAAAAATCCCAACAATTGCTCAGATAAATATATGAATTTATGTGTTGAATAACTTTACTGCGTGTGTGCGCTGCACAATCGGCAGTTGGGGTTGTCGTGAGACAATGGCGATATGTTAATCTAGATTTTTTTTATGGGAAAATCGTTGTAGACCTTTGGCGTAATGTAAAGACAATTACCGCTACGGTGTAGGTAGTTTAGTTCTGGTAACTGTTCAAGTAGAGAATCTAATGTACTTTAAGCACATATTAACTTATGGAAGCTTTGTGGACAGTTGGAAAGCTCCAAGCTTCTTTGGTAGCTTCAAACAAAGAACTACGGAGCTTCTTTCCTTCAGTGCAGCAAAATATCAGTGTTGAGATCCCTATCTGAAGATCAATAAAGTAACCCGACTTAAACATACTTTCAAAGCTCAAGACAGTCATAAAGTTAGGGCAGTAAGACTTTTAAAAAATTTTGAAATTTCCTAATGAAAAATAACATAGACAATAACAATAGAAATATCCTCTGAAAATTTGAGATAAAACAGAAGGACAAATACTTTACGAGGCCTTTGATAATTAGCAAAGCTTTCAAGGGCGCTCTGCAACGTTCGAGAGCAGGTACCCAGCAGCAACTTCAAATGCGTCTTTCTCAAGTCTATGTTTTTTGAACTGTTAAACACTGTGGCTCGAAAGCCACTCCGTAGATTTCAATGGAATTTACAACATTCAAAACTAGTGCCTGATCGAAGATTTTTTTAATTTCGATTTTTTATAAACAATTAACTATTAAGTTTTTACCGAAAATCTGAAAAAACTTTTCTTGTAGCCGCCATTTCATTATTTTAAAATAAAATAATCTTCCATCAGGCACTCGTTTATCTATTAATGAAACACATTTTTTAAATCCGATTGGTTTTAGATCGGAATCTTCAAGGAATAGTGATTGTCACTGCAAGGAGCTTTCGTTGAACCTGGATCAACTCAAACAGCCATTACTTTTAAAATAATTTTTTTTTTAATTTCTGTTAATATATATATTAAATAATTTTAATGTTGCTATGCTTTTACTTTTATAAAAAAAAATAATTTACTGACAAAAAAAAAATATTTAAAATTGTAATTTTTCATGTCACAGGCTACACCAACCCCTTATAGGAAGAATTTTCTTGATAAAACAACACATTTCTATCACTTCAGTACAACTTTATACAATGCAATAAGCCGAAGGTCAATCAAAGAATCTAATAATCTAACTTACATACTAATTTAAAGATTTAACCAAACATGATCACTCTTAAAGAGCCTCAGAACAAAGAAAAATTAAATATTAATTAATTATTATTCTGAAATCACTAATCAAACATCTAATCAATTGCTTTTAGATTCAAGGGTATTTTTATACATATTTTAAAAATACACAGTAAAATTGTTGAAGTAAAACTGTTGATATTTTTCGAGTTACACGCGATCTCTGACTGTCCTAAAAAAGTTCCTCCACTGCTGCAGTGACTTGAGCCTTCGCCATGAATGACACCTCTACACAATATTCTCTACTAGAACATACTGTGCATATAATGACCTAAGTTCGAAAAAAAATTAAAAATTTGATAGTAATCGAATCATTTGTCGCCGAGTAATCACTGCAGCAGATTCGAAAAATGCTGTTACGAGAAAAACGCGTTTAAGGACAATTGCTTAAACTGAGAGTTTAGATCTTAGAAGGCCTTAAGTCAAAAACTATTTAAGTTAATTATTTCAAATTTTACGCAGTTATTTCTAAAGCTATAACCTATAGAAATATGAAAAACAAAATCTGATATTTTTTTATTTTGCACT